CTTGACCATATAGGGTGACAAAATGGCATTTCCATATACTGGCTAGTACATGCAGCGAAGAGCTATAAATATTGTTAGAAAAACATGGGGCTACCAACTTCCATAAGATGGCACAGTTTTTTGCACCTGCAGCTGCTATCAAGCGTTGCCAAGATACCCTCATAGCATTCTTTTTTTGACAAATTAACTGTTTATACTGTTTTTTCAATGTCACTAACTCAGAAATTGAACAAGAACCAGGATTCTCTTTATATAATTTAAAGTGGCAATTTATAGAATTCCAAGTTTCACCGCATTGGTAGTCGAAGTAAGCATGATGTGTTCTTGGATCTTGCCTAATTGTAACAGATTGGGAGGCTGTTAACAATGATTAAAATAGTTTGGTTAAGTTACTGAAATTAGCCAATACAATGTCATCTAACTTACCCTCCACTATTGCTGAGTAAAGAGACTTGGCTGGTTCACTTCTAACAAAGTTAGTGATTATTGCTGCTTGCTGAGATGTCCATTAAGCACAAGTGGGACAGAGGTCATCAGCCACTGTTGTAATGTGGCAGGAAGGTAAAAACAATCTATTAAAGATTTCAGGTGCAGAGTTAACAGAAAAGTGGTCACTTTTCAGGTCGACTGATGATTACAAACTTAGGGAATTAAATTCTGAGTGATCCCAACATAGTCTAACAGCCCAATGGGTATACTCAGGTGGGTAATCAACACTAACCCTCTTAAAATTACCAAATTCAGACAAAGCAAAGCCCTCTATAATCACTGTATACATCCTTAGACTGGCGGTGTAGAATACTGGGTGTTATTACAGAGGATAAAGTCTGGTAGTGAAATTTAGCAAAAAGCTATTTGTCATTTGCTCCAATTCTTGCATTAAAATCATCAGCCAATATTAAATGTGCTGCAGGGAATGCAACCATTAGATCTTCTACATGGATATCTATTTTATCCCATACATGTCTTATCTGTGATCGCATGTGCAGGGGTGGAATGTACACATTAATCAAAAGGAACTGAAGTAGAACTGCCAATGCATACCGGTCTGTTGCTTGTAAACTAGTTATTTGAATCTGGGGTAGATATTAAAATACCTAATACCCTGCAAAACCTCCCATGTCCTGCACCAGACACAGTTTCCAGTGTGATTGTCCTGAACCTTCGGACCTGCAGATGCTTCTGGCTGGCCTTCTGGGCCTGTCAACTTCTCTCAGTACCTGTCCTCAATTCACCTGGCTAAGAACTTTTTACTTCCTTGAAGAGTGCATTGGGTTTCAGGGCATAGGTGGAATTCTCTGAAGGAAAGATAATTTGGGAAAGGTTGTTGTACAAAGATTGAGAATGTTTCATCTCTGAATCAGAAACTTATAAGAAATTGATTTTGCTGCAATTCTGAGAAAGGATCCATATTTTATGTCAGGAGTCTGACATTTATCTTGATCTAGTTCCCTCTCTCTGAATTGTTGTTGCAAAATAAATAAATAAACAAACAAACAAACCAATTCTGAGTAGATAGAATATTGTATAAAGGAATTATATTGTGGACATGCATTGGAAAATAAAATTCTGAACTTATTTTGATCTGTGTTACAGTGTGTCATACAGTATTGAAAATTGAACTGTTGGCCTGTTTGGATTGTCATCACAAGCAACCATTGAACATGCATGCAAAATGTACTTGGGTTCCTATGTTCAACATAGAATACAATTGGAACTGCTTTAAAATCACTGTTGATAATATTTCTGCAGTCCTAAATATACTTTTAAGAACAACCGAACTTTGTGGTTCATAAATACTAAGACATTTACTACAGTCTACTATGGACTAGAATTCACATTACTATCTGAAATTGTGTGCCATAATGTGTTTGTTCATCTTTTAAAGATGCAACAAGATTGTTTAACGACTGCAAAAAGATTGATTGTTGTAATAAACCTGTTTATGGTTAAAGCCATAGCGCCTATTATTTCAGTTCAGGTTGGTATAACTTTAAGGTGCCACATAACTTTTGCAAGAGACTGAAATAGCCCCATTACTAGATACAAGAAGTAAGGTCTGTTAAACTAGTGAACTAATTTCCAGTTTAGCATGTTTACATTTATTTTGAAAATCTGCTCAAATCTAGTGTTTCAAATTAAATAGATCACGCTAATGAGCTGTTCTGGATGCGTTCATTTTTATTAAAGCAGCTAGTTATTTATCTCTCTATGAAATGGTATTATAACTAAATCAATTAAGATGGTAAAGCAGATTACAGCATTGGAAGCCACCATATTCTATAGTTACTAAATCTTGAAAATAAAATCCACAAATCCAAATGTCTAAATGACATAAAAATCAAGAAATCCCATTCCACTCCCAGCATCCCTAGAAATGCTGCTAGCTGGCAAATCCTATAGGCCTATATTGGATATAGCTTTAATAAGAACATAAAAGAACTGGTACAGATTTCTTTTGCTTCACTGTGTCATGATCTAGCAAAACAAATTTGGCCACAACATGGATGGGAGCAATAAAGTTACCATCCATTGTTCTCAGAAAAGCAAGATTATAGCATGAGAAAGTAGTATAAAAAGTCAGCATAACACTCATACTTGTATAAAAATCAACATTTACGTTTGCAAAATTTATTTTAAAAATACATGTGGAAAATTTCATAGAAAATATATTAAAGTAGTTGCTTAGAAAAATACTGTATATAAATTGCACAGAAAAATATGTACATTGCAGAAAGAGGTATACAAAATCCATACAACAGCTGAGGATTTTCTGGGCATTTAAAATAGTACTCCTGAGAAATTGATTGGAAAAAAATTGTGTTAATACATCAGTAATGGAGAGCAGATTTACACATTCCTAATCCCAAGTAAAGGCTTGTTACTTATTAAATGCTTAATACAGATCATATGCTTACTGGAAAAAAGATTTTTTTTTCTGATTTTCTGCACTGAAGGTATTGTTTAATATAAGTGCAGCAAAAGCTAATATTTGGATCATTAACTAACTCACTGTAGAGAGTAAGGAAGATGACCTTGACAGAGATATGCAGGAATGTTACTTAGGCAAAAGGACTGAAACATTCTTTAAGTCTAGAGCAATGACATTTGGAAACAGCTCAGGCAGAAACTCCCTAATTCACTGGAGTATAAGAAGGGGGAGAAGGTACTGGCAGAATTCTGTTATAACCAATCTCAGTAAAAGTAGTTTTAATCTTCCTGTGGAGTTGATTTCCAGGAATGGCCTACTTAGCGGGCCCGACACTCATCTGAACGAGTTAGACTTTCCTCTTCCCTGAAATCTAGTGTTTAGTAGTCAGAATGAATAACTCTATGGTTACTACTATAAACTAATACAACAGGCATTAAGATCGGTGGTTCCCAGTTTTGCCCTTAATTTGTATGTAAATAGAGGAAAGCCTTCAAGATCTTTCTGTTGAGGACTGTGTATTAATTATTTTGGGATAAGCTAAAAATCTTAATGACTTACAAAAGTGAGCTGTTTGGGCAGAATATTCTCCACTAGTTCCCTCACCCCCTCTGCCCCATACACATACCCAAATAAACCACAGTTTTTGGTGAAAACTTCCACAAAGTTTGGGTTTGTATCCTATAGTAATCTCCAACAGAAAAGGTTTTAAGAGAAGGTAGCCAATAGGCAAATATATCAGCGGTGATGTCAGTTTGTCTTATTTTAATAATAGTCACCATGGAAACCAGCTAACTGACCTATTTCTTTTTGTACCCGTGAATAAACAATACAGCTACCCATTTTCATATATACCATTTTAGATACTAGCTGTTTACCTTCTTTTTTCATATTAATGAAGTGCTATTGTGTCCTTTATATATTCCCTGAAGGCTTCTTTTCACAATGTCTATTTCCGGGGCTTTTATAGTTTGTTTTCCTGTGGAAAGACAATAAAAAGCCCAAGGCTATTATTAGGGAAACTTCTATTCTTCCATGCACATCTAGTGTTCTGTTCTGAAACCTCCCTCAATCTTCCAATCTTTAATCCCATATATATGGGGCGGGATGTTGCTACATACAGTTTAGTACATTCTCTGACACCATTGCTCTGGTTTCATTTGTTGATCCATAATCAAAATTGCTCAAAGCAGTTTGCAAACCCAATGTTTTAAAACAATAAGACCCCAACAAAATGATAAGATGGGCTAGCAAATGACCACACAATAAAATAATGGAACAATAACCATAATTTATCATCACCAAAATTTAAGTTAAATAAAATGAGAAATCTAGTTATATTAAAGCTGAGTTTGATTTGATTTGATTTATGGATACGATTTATAGGCTGCCCAACTCCCAACAATTCTGAGGGACTTACAATTAAAGAGTAAGAAGCAATATCACAAAGAAAAGAATTCATGAGCAGCCCAAAGAAAGACATATAACAAAAAACCCATCCAGTAGGGACTCAACCATCATCCCACTCCAAAGTCTGGGAGACTAGCCAGGTCTTTAATAGCTTTCTGAACATCCTCATCATCATCATGGCAGCCATCCAGATCTCTGGGGTGATATTATTCCAGGGGGCAGGCAATATGACAGGGAAGGCATGTTTCCTGGGCCCTGATAGATGAAACTGTTTGATCAATGGGACGTGAGACATGCTCATTCTGCCCAATCTCACTGGATGGGATGGCCTACAGAAGCCCTGAAAAGCACCCAAGATCTCTAAAAGTTGTTGCTAAAATGTAGTGTTTAATACAATAGAAAGGGTAAATTTATTAACAATATGAGGGAAGGATAATCATACTAGAGACAAATGTAAATGAAATGAAATCAACTTTAGTTTTTGTCCTACTGCTTTTCAGAGTGTGATCTTGAGCAAGTCACTCGAAGGATGAGTGTGACTCTGCCTGGAAAACATTGCACCTGCCTGTATGAAAACTGGACAATGAGAGGAGCTGTTCCCAGACAAACATATCTAAAGAATGGGTTCCACTGTTTAGGTCAGCTGATCAGATTGGTGGTACCAGGAAATCCACAGTGTGTTTCCCAGCTGAGCTGCAATAGAAGAAGCGGGCAGAGTTCTTGGAGTCAGACTTTTTCTGAGAGGGGAGCAAGGCCAGCAGAATAACATTTTATCAGCGCCATGAATCCTGACATAGGGAGCCCTGAAAACGTAACCCTAAAGTAAGTTGGGGGGTTATGATTAGTTGAAGTTATTTATTTTTTATTACTGTATTTGTTTATTATGAAGTGGCTTTCAGTGTCTGCAGTTCTTGTTCAGTATGAAGACTATTTAAATGAATTAAAATAGCAGTTGCTCTGCCCAATTTCCAATTGCCACAAATATAAATCAGTCCGTTTTTTTTTTTTTTTTGGTTTAAGCAGACATTTCTCATAGGAGAGAAAATGAATTGCAAAAAAAAATCTCTACTTCATGGTTCGGTATAGAATTGAATATACTGAACCATGAAGTAGAGATTTTTATTTAGCTTTCAGACTTGCGAGGTTCTGTTACTGTAACTTTACAGTAAAAGTAGCATTAGTCCTCATGGTTATGGCTTCCTGTCTGGACTACCTCAAAGGGCTGACAGTATGCTTGCTGTGCTCCATTCTGGCCTCTGCAAATGCCATTGTTCCAACTGCTGGTTTATTCTGTGGCAGGAATGTCCAACCCCCAGTTTCAGCTCTCTGCCTTCAATGGCCATTTCATCCTGGGTTGCTGGGCTGAGTGATCTTTCCAAAGCGTTGCATGTGAGGCGTGAAAGCTGCCTCAAATGAGAAATAGCCACACAATGATCATTTAATTGGTGGAACTGGTACAAACCATACCTAATGCAAATGTCCAGCAGTTCATCATTGCCTCGTTGCCTTTTTTTAATAGTACATCCTTTTCAGGGTGGTCCTATAGTGATCTAACATGACTCAATGGGAGAAGCACTCCATTTGGACTGGATGTACTGATTGCCTCCCCTGCTTATACCCACAGCCCACATCCTTTCCCAGGAGATTGAGTTTTGGTGCAGGACAGAGGCATTCAAAGCAGCAGTCATCTCAAGTATACACACAAATGCAGGTTTTAATTTGGAGTATTGATACATAACCTGGATAGGAGTGGCGCAGAAGGGGCAATCAATCAGGAGCCATAATGAGCTTAATTTGATTTGATGCCAGGTCACCTCCGTAGCCAAAGTGATGGAAGGAGTTCAAATACAGAAAGGGAATCTTTAAGCCAGCTTCATTTCCAGCTGGTTCAGCACTTGAGATAAGCAACTCAGGGTATAGTTCAGAATTACATGTAGTCTTCACTTTCCAACTGCCTTGTTCGACGACTGTTCAAAGTTACGATGGTGCTGAAAAAGTAACTTTACCACTGGTCCTCGAATTTGTGGCCATTGCAGCATCCCTGCGGTCACATGATTATGATTCAGGTGCTTCGCAACCAGCCTGCAGTTATGATGGTTGCAGCATCCCATGGTCACAAGATCACCATTTGTGATCTTTGCTGCCAGCTTCCAACAAGCAAAGTCAATGGGGAAGCCAGCAGTAAGTTGCAAGTCACAGTCACATGATGCCTCATTTAATGACCATGCTAATTCACTTAACAACTGCATCACAAAGCAACATAAGTCAGGTGCAGTCACATGATGTCTTACTTAATTACTGTCTCGCTTAGCGATGGAGTATGCAGTCCCCATTGCAGTCAATAAATGAGGACCACCTCTACTTATCACTTGTAGGAGGAAAGCTGTGTTAGTCTATGGTAACAAAAAATCAGGTGTCTGGTAGCATCTTTTCTGACTAACATAAGCTTATGTCTTTTAATAAGATTTGTTAGTCAGAAAGGGTGCTACCAGACTTGATCCTTTATCACTTGTTTTCTCACAGTCTCAAAACCATGGTTTAATTCTTTATGCTTCTTGATTATTTTGGAAGGCAGATCAGGACAGAGGGATATAGTTGCCAATGGTTTTCTTATTTAGAGTTATTAAAAAGATTTAAAGTAGACAAAGGTGTTTATGGTTTTGAACATTCTAAGACTGAGTTTGAAATAGAATTGTGTACAAATGATGAACATGTAATTGCTAAAATGTATAAACTTTGATTGAAATTTGAAACACAAGAAGAACAAGTGAAAGAATGTATGATAAAGTGGGCTAAAGCTTTGGTTATAATATACAGATTGAACAATGGGAAAATATGTGGTTGAAAGGATTAAAATTTATCTTGTGTTATAACCTTAAAGAGGACTTTTATAAAATGCTGTACTGTTGGCAGAGAAATTGTCTAGAATGTATAAAGGCCCTTCAAATTTATGTTGGAAATGTGAATAACAAGAAGGGATATTTTATCATGTTTGATGGATGTGTAAAAAAGCTAGAAAATTTTGGATTCATACACTGATTCAAAGGATTTTAAATATTAATATACAATTGAGACCAGATATCTTTTGGGACTGATGGACAAATAGTTGGAAAAAAGTCATGGAACTTTGTTTTTGTATATGACAACTGCAGCAAAATTACTGTACACACAAAGATGGAAAAATTCAGCAGTACCTACAATGAAGGAATGGTTGGTGAAGATGATGGGACTTGCTGAGATGGCCACATTGACTGCTTTGATCAGAGAAAAGACAATTATCTATGTTTATTGCTGACTAGAAACCCTTTACAGACTTTTTGCATAAAACAGAAAAAAATAAACTTATAATTTATGGTTTTGATGATTAGATAGGTTAGATTATAGAAAGAAGAGAGTCATGACTCTCTAGCTTTCTTTTTGATTTCTTTCTTTTACTTTTTTCTTCCTTACTTTATATTAGTTTGTATTCATTTTTATCTTTGTTTTCAAAACTTTTAATCAAATTATTTTTAAAAAATCATTTTGGAAGGCAGATCATGAAAATAATTAATTTCTTTCCAACATCTTGCAGAGAAGATGCTTGCCTGGAGAGCTGCAAGAAATTACCTCATGTGGATCCCTGCAGGAACTTTACCAAATCTACTGGATTTGGATTACAATAAAACTGGAATCTTGGCAGATCTCTATATAATTGTATCAATTTTGAATAAATACTCTTTAAGAGAAAAGAAAAAGCTCAGAAAAACCTTTTTCTATAATGGCCACTAGATGCTGTTCATCAACTCTGTATGGAAGAATTACGGTAACATGCTAAATCTTTTTCTTTTCATTTTGAACCTGTATTAACTTTTCTTGACTTATGCCAACTCCTTGTTGTTTGTTTTGTCTTTTGCTTGAGTAGCTTGGACTTTTTTTTTCACATGAGATTCAAACATAATTTTCACAAGCTGTTTTTAATTTCCTTCTGCATGGAATCAGATTTTATTTCAGGCATCTCACCTTGAAGCATATACTTCATGAATTTTCTACTTATTGATTGCATTATAACAAATAGTTCAAAGTTAGTCATTTCTCTTGGCTTTAATCTGGATGACACTTCACAAGTTAACATCTATGTCAGAATCAATCATCCCAGCAGCCAAGCCAAAAGGTTCTTCTGATGCACAGCATTCTCAGAAAATAATCAGAACCTTTACAGCAGCTGGTAAGGATTTCATTTTCTCCATTAGGGATAATGTCATACTATCAGGCAATAGAAAAAGAAGCAGACAATCTGTTTCTTATGTTTATGAAACATACTACCTCCCCAAAATTCCAAACTTAGAAGTAGATTTAATTAAAGTTTCTGCTTACCATTTTTTTTTAAACCAAGCAGTCCAATTGTAGTTTTCAACAGCTCATGGAGGGAGAGAGAAACAAACTGCAGCTCAGGGCTTCACCTTGGCCAGAAATCAAAATCAGTTGACGTTTTGCTGTTGTCTGAAGCTTTCTTGGTCCTAGCAGTGGCATTCACCTAAAATAAGAGGTCTAATCCTGACCCCGGTCTAGTATTGGTGCTGCAGCCACTACCTTACAACCTCCCCCCGCTCTCCGCCACTCACCCAATAAACATGGTTTACTTGCTACCTTGCTAGCATATCAGGCATATTACTACAGTAAGCCAGACTAATAAGAAAAAACAAGTGTCCGTTAAAGCTAAATGTCCATTAACTGATGAATGGGTCTTTTCAAATCCAAGACACAGTCAGTACTGATTGATAACAGTAAATACCAGTTTTGAGATGAAGCAGCAAGCATTGTCCAGACTGGTTCATCCAGCAACAGAATTAACCTTTGGGGTAAAGTCCATTATTGGCTAAAATCAGAACAAAACTTTAATCTAGCAGATTTTGTCAAATCAACTAAACCAAGGTCCATTAAATCAAGGGCTTTGTGACACTAGGTAGGAAATTATCTTCCACCAGCAAAAACCATTGTGCAATAGTTTTGTTTTCTTTGATTTAGCTTCATCTCACCTGTTCATCCTACATAGGCAATTGTCAATCAAGTCTGCTACTAGTTATTTTTCCAGTCTTAGGCCACTGACTAGGTGGTGGAAAGCAGAAAGTTACTTTTCATTTTCATGGGCATGATGTACATCATTGATTGTGTTGATTTAGCTAAGACCGATCCAAGAACTAGTAACATATTATTTTGAATTTGTTGACTTAAGAAAAGAATTAAATGGAAAACTGTTAGTCATGCATTAGTGAGAAGACATATTTAGGATCACAACATAAAATAGTGAATTGAGGCAAATGCTTAGTATCCAGAATCCAAACTGTTGCATATATACCTGAGAACCACCTAGCAGCTGTCAAAGTAGCAGCCCTGGCCATAAGGTAATTGATTGCTACAAACTAATTGACATGAGTATAGTATGTATGCATGTTCAATTGCACAGCTGCAGGCTTTCAGCCCCTTAAGTCAAATTGAATGTTTTCTCACTTCTTTGTATAAATATCTGTATCTTCTTTGCTCAGTTTGGTGCTCTCTGCATATAATGGATTACAAATCCCATAATCATGACCATTGCTAACTGGTTATTATCAGAAAATGCAGTGTAATACATGAACGATACAAGGGTGGGAAGCTGAGTTATTTTATATAAGAGGCATACCTTCTTTCTAAGGAAACCTGCATTTTAGAGAACACTGTTCATATTTTTAATCTTAGTACTGGTAGTAAACTGATTTCTGATTTCTATTAACTGTTTATAGCATATTGAAAACATTTACAAACAAAAAGCATAGCTTGTCATTTTGTGTGTGCTACGTTGCCTCTCTCTGAACAGGAAGCCATCAGTAATCCATAATAAACTGACGGCTGATAGACTTAGTTTAATTTACTAATCTGTCATGGTTATATATTCTTGGAGAAATATATCCTCTTTCTAGCTCAAAGTAGATATAAAATCTACAACTTATTAAAGACTGTAAAAAGGAACAAATATGGTTTGTTCTATATTTGTATAAGCCCTGTAGCACCAGACTGTCGCATCACAGCATCTTTGCAATGCTTTGTTCCAACATTTGTAGCTAAATGTATATGATTTAACAGCATAGAAGACAGCTACTATTCCTTGCATGCAATGGTCTGATGTTTTAAACTAGAATGAATGCTCTCAGTATTCAACCTTTTCTTGCCTTTTCCCCCCTCCCTTCACTTTGTTTTTTTTTTTCAGGAGCACACAAAATTTTTACCTTAATATCAGGAATGTATGTTTGTATGTATAACAATCAGATGATGAAGTACAACCAAAAATGTAGTGGTACTAATAAAATCAGAGAAAAAAATATATAGAATAATGAATAAGTGAGTGACATATATCTATAAAAGTATATCTAAAATGTTAATATAGAACTAGCTCAATAATATATTATTAAATCTAGCCATGTAAACCTTCTATTGTCCCATCTTCTCAGTTTTAGCACAATATGTTGTTTTGATACAATAATATTTATATAACATGCTTAGATTCTTAATGTTCTGTTATGTACATATACATATAGACCGTGCAACAACACAATGATTTTAATAGCATTTAATTTACCTTAAGACTGGAACTATTATTATAAAACAAATATCTTAGTGTATATTCTTTTTATTTTTTTCATTTTATTATATATTCATTATATTTAATTTAGAGGAAAAGTCAAATAGTTATACTTGCAACGCTAATATTCAAAACTTGTAACTAATATTGATTGAACATCCACTTTTTCTTCTCTCTTTTCTATATTTAATACTCTAAGGACAGTTTTCATTCTTGCTGGGAAAAGAATTACTCTTCAGAAATCTAGTATGAAAATGCTACCCTGCAGGTATTAAATGGCTCATAAAAATGATTTCTGAGTTTTACAGTCTAAACATAAAAGAGATAGAGTAGTATTTTTAAAATGTAACAAAATCATGTTTATAAAGTTCACTATGAACTTAAATGAAGATAGACCAATACCGCATAATCAAAACTCAGACATAACATCTAAAAGTAGGCTTATCATAACCTGGCTTGATTGGGGTTGTCCTTGTTTTGCAGCACAGCCCAGACATTCCTAATTGGTTGATGAAAAAGTTTTGGAAGTTAAGATTGTACAGACCCAAAAGAGGGGAGTGTGAGTTTAGTCACCAGGTTTCCCTTTGCTGGGGAAATGTAGGTTTAGTCATCTGACAAAATTCATAGGCAAAGGGAACATTTAAGCATCTGTGCTTCCTCAGGTGAAGGAAAAGCATGGGTTTAGTCTTCTGACAAAACTCATTCCCCCTTTAGCTATTCAACCTTCACAGGCAAGGGGAAACAAATTTGGAAAGAGCACTTAAGCCCATGCTCCCTGGCTCTGTCTACATAGGTTTGCTGATCATGGCTTTTGCTTTGGTTTAAACCAGTGTTTCTCAACCTTGGTAACTTTAAGATGTGTGGGCTTCAACTCCCAGGGAGCTGAAGTCCATACATCTTAAAGTTGCCAAGGTTGAGAAACACTGGTTTAAATACTTAAAATATGGTAAGCCATGGGCACCGGAGGGAGGATGCAGGGGAGATAAATGACAAAATGTCTGTTGTGATGCAAAGCTTTCACTTTTGTACTTGAATTGTGATGTCATGACACACGTTTCATCACTTTGATGAAACCTTTAGTTGCTGTGAACACCCATGAGCCTAACTAAAAGCATCATTAATTATAGCATGTAAAAATCACACCACAGGGACTAAAATTTTGATGAGATGGGCTCTTAAAACAAAAAAAGCTTTTCCTTCTAAATTTGTGCAGTTCCATTATGCACAGAGAAAGATAGCCAAGTGTTCCCAAGGTGGTGTTAGAGAATAAGATAAAAAAGAGCAAGCTTTAACATTCACAGTCATATCTTCCTACTTCATACAATCAGTGATCACACACTGCCACAGATGTGTAGTCAGAGTTCCTTCATATATCTTCATGCAATCAAAGACTGCATGAAGGCTATCTGATTTCATACATTGAGAATTTCATATATTGGAACTAATGTCTGTATTGTGCATGAACATGAATGGCTGATTGCATATTTTCTGTAGCATTGGGAACCTTGCATAGTCAGGAATCCCAGTTACTTGGAAACATATATGTGAAAAACTAATGATGCAAATGTTTCTTCAGTAGAGATATCCTCACTAATGTAGACAATGGAGGTTAGCAGGATGACAGATACTGGGAGGACAACCAGCATCTTGTTTAATTTCTATGTGAAGCTGCTGGGAGAGGTCATCCAGTGGTTCAGAGTGAGGCATCAACAATATGCTGATGATACTCAGTTGTGCATCTTTACCCCAGGCCAATGGGAGATGTGGTAGAAGTTCTAATCCAGAGTGGCCTGGAGGGCCTCTGTCTAGCTTTGGTGAAGGAATCTAGACCTAGCTCTGGGAATGCAGAAGGAATGAGTAAATTGTAAGGAGGGATTTTCAGAAAAGATTATTTAGTCCTAAGAAAGTGGAAAGCATTATTGTGCTTGTTATAAGATATAGTAGAGAGAAACTGACAGGCTTTCAAGATTCTGGTACTCTACCCTACTACAATAAAGAGCATTTCTGGAATCCTTGCCATGCTTTTTCTTGACCTTCCTACCTCAAATAGCTAATACCTTACTGGGAACAGAAT